GGATCCCACCCAGGGAAGAAGGACCCCAAGTATGAAGGATATGAGATAGTGAAATGGTTGAAGCCAGCAACTAAAAATGAGGCCTTAAGGGGGAGAAAAATTTTCAACTCAAAAGCATATGGAAGTGATTGTTGATAAATCAAAATAAATTAATAAAAAAAAATGTTTTTTTAAATGAGGCCTTAACTCATCCTTAGCTTGAATGAACCAAATGCCAATAGGAGATTAGGGTTTAGGACCAGAGTGGAAAATAAGTCAAGGAACAGCATGGTGGTACAAGATTCAGCAAAGAAAACCTTCATCAAAAGTAAGGTCGTAGTGTCTGATGACAGTTTAGAATCGGAGTTCTATGGGCTTCTTTGGCAGTCTGATGAATCCTATGGACCCGTTCTCTGAATAAAGTTTTTAAATATATAAAATACATAGAAATACAAAAGAAACTTATTATATTGAAATTCAGTTATCAAAATATTAGAGGGGAAAAAAACAAGTGCATGAACCCCAAGCTAAGAACCCCTTGCCCTCTAGAGCAGTAGTTTAAAAAAGCAGCCAATCAGAAATGGAAATGACAGAGGCAAAGAGGCAGAGAACTTCTAGGAGCTATAATAACAAATATTAAATGATAGATATGTTTTGTTGACTTGTATAGAAAGAGAAAGGTAAAAGGGCTTAAGCCCAAAAAGAAGAGAGCTTGGGGGGCCATATGGAAAATCATCTTTTTTTGACTTGTAACTTAGGGAACAAGAACCTTATAGTCACAGGTCCATGGTCAGTTAGACTAAGGTAAAAGTAATACCATTGATTTAGGGCAAAATGTCAGAAACCCGTAGAAAATTAGTCAGCAATGCAGGATAGAAGTAATTACCAGAGACTCTAGGATCCCATGCCCAGAGCTAAAGGTTGGTCAATTATTAGTCAATAAGCATTTATTAAGCACCTGCTATGTTCTGGGCACTGTACTAAGATTCTAAATAGATTCTAAATAGCTGAGACTTTGCTAAATGTGGCCAGCAACTAGAGGAAGGGTAGTATGGCATAATGGACAAGGCACTGGACACAGAGTCAGGAAGAACTAGGTTTGATTACCACCTTAGATATATACTAGCAATGTGACCTTGGACAAGCATTTAGTCTTGGTTTCCATGTCATAAAATGGGGAAAATAATGAAACTCAAGAGGCACAGGATAGAGATGGCCTGGAGTCAGAAGATCTGACCTCTGATACACATTGCCTGTGTAACTGGAGGCAATTCATTTAACCTCTCAGTGCCCCCAGGTAACTATCTAAGCCCATGTGACCAGAGCAGGTACCCATCTGCATCAAGACAGGGAGTTGCCTATACCAATGAAATCAGAGGTGCCATGCAAAAGAAAAAAATTAATATTTCCCACTTCAAGTATTTTTTTGAGGATCAAATGAGATAATGTATTTAAAGCACTTTACATACGGTAACACTAGAGATAAAGGTTACCCTACCATATCCAATAAGTCATCAGTTCTTGTCATTTGTACTTTCAGAATATCTCTCATATTATATCCTCTTCTCTTCACCCACACAGCTTCTGTCCTGATGAACATCCTCATTGTCTCATACCTGGATCTTGCAGGAGCCTTCTGGTTGGTCTCCCTACCTCAATTCTCTCCTCATTCCATTATATCTTCTATTCAACTTCCAAAATGATCTTCCTAAAGTTTGTCTGACTATGTCACATCTTCCACACCCATCCCTACTCAATAGACTTCAGTGGTTCCCCCATTATCTCCAGGATTGAATATCAAATCTTATTTGGCAATTAAATTCCTTCACCCCTTGGCCCTTTCCTATCTTTCCATTCTTCTTATACTTTATTCCCCTTAATACACTCTATGACTCAGTGATAACTAACCTTCTTGCTATTCCTCCATCTTTCAACTCCATTCCTTTTTGCTGTCTGTCCCTCATGCCTGGAATGTTCTCCTTCCTCCTGCTGGTTTCCCTGGATTCCTTCAAGACTCAGCTCAAATCGCACCTTCTGCAGGACTTTCCCATTTCCACCCCACCTCCACATTAGTGCCTCCCCTCTGAGATTACTTTCCATTTACACTGTATATATCTTGCATGTACAATTTGGTTTTTGCATGTTGTCTACTCCTTTAAAATGTGAGTTCTTCGAGGGCAAGACCTGTGTTTTTCCCTTTATTTGTGTCTGTAGTGCTTAACATAGTACTTGGCCCATAGTAAGTGCTTAATACATATTTGTTGGTGGATTAAATAACTATTATTAGAAAGCTAAAACTGAATTAAACATCAAGAACAAGACATGAAAAGGAAGGCAAATAGAGCCAAGAAATGGCGAAGCCTAATTCTCTGTGGTTGTCATATTGAGTCATGGTTCACCCTCTAAGAACTTTTATATATTATCAATCTTACCCTTTTAAAAAGCTGTTATTGTTGCCACCCACCCTCCACACTCTAGGTGTTAAGGCTTTCCCTGTAATGCTTGGTAATTGCTTTTTAAACACTAAGGATGGTGAGGGGCTGCCTCATAGGGGCAAGGAAAATCGGGAGATGGTGGGAAAGACTGCATTCTTCCTCTGAAGAGTCAGCTGGTTACTGGAAACCTAGTACAAAGGGGGGAAGTAGTTGATAACATGAAACTTGAAGGGGCTGTCAGTAAGCTGAATCCTAGGACTTGCAAAGAAATACCATCACTAGGCAAAGGACAGCAGGAAGCTGTGGGTGGCATCATCCCTCCCTATGCACTGATCCCTGATGTTCAAATAAGATTTTTCAAAAATGCACTTTTAACCATTTATTAAAAAGAACTGGAGGACCTATCCTCACATGCTAAGTCATCAGAGAGAAAAAATGGACAGAGGCAATAGAGAAATGTACAGGACTGTATATCTTTTAACTATTCCATTGACTGAAGAAATACATTCCACCTCTTGCCCCCATAGTCTTTTCCATAAAACAAGTATAGACCAAGAAAAATGGTGAAATTTTCATTCCTTATTATTTCTGCATTTCTAAAAGGGGAAGAGGGAAACCCATTTTTAAAGCATTTAACAAAAACTGAATTAAAATTGTTCACATTAAAATTCTCAACTACATTTCAATACATTATCACATGATCAAAAATCACAGAAACAAAGTAGATTAATATTACCATCAGCCCTACACCACCTTATGTCAGACACACCATCATCCATGTGCTTCTACACCTGGAACAAGTAAAAGTTTATGAGGAGCTGAGTAGTAAAAAATTTAATTTTATTTGTCATATGGCCTGTGCCACAGAAGGCAAAACAGAATGGGCCAGTGATTCTTCAGTTCTTATGTTCAAAGCTGCCTTATATGCAAAGTTATGACATAGGTGGCTAGTGTCAGCCTTATTTTATTGATGGAGAAACAGGTCATATAAGAGTTAAGTGGCTTGCCTGTAGACAGTACAAGGACAGGGACAGTGACTAGACCTGAGATTCTAGTAGTATAGGGAACGTTCAGATGAAGAAAATTCCTTTACCAATGCAGGTCAGTATCTTCTCTGTAATGTGAAGTCTTAGAAAGTATCCTAGAATGATAATAGGTCAGGTAATCTGGCCTGGGTTACCCAGAAAGGCAGAACGTGGACTGAAATCTTACCAGTCCCAAGGTCAGATCTCTATCCACTGCAGCAAGCTACTTCTCACCTACAAATAGCCGGAATGAATTCTCAACATTCTGCGTGACCTGCAGAAGTGCCTTTCCGCAAGAAGCTCAAAACAGTTTGTTGATGCAGTGCATGACATTATACCAGGTTCCACAGGTAATGACAAAACAGTAGATATAGTCCCTCAGGGAGGTGACTGTTTCTGAGTCCCAAGATTTCTGTGCTGGAGAAGCAGGGGATAGAGTACTTGCCTATAGTGAATCCAATACATCAAAAGCAGAGCATCTGCCAAATAACATAGGTTTTGTTGTGTGCTTTTTTTGTTTGTTTTTTCAGAGGGAATCTGGGTTAAGTAATATATGCAGGGTCACACAGCTAGTGAGTGTCTGTCTGAGGGCAGATTTGAACTCAAGTCTTCCTGACTCCACGGACGGTACTCTATTGACTGTGCCATCTAGCTGCCCCATACAAAATAGTCTTGAAGGCAGTCCACCTTACTAAGACCTAGACATTTCAACACCAAAATTAAGTTTTCTACTACAGGAGTGGAGTAGCTTCCTAGGTAATCCTACGAATCAGTGACAGAGCAAGGTGATTTAGCCTCGGTCTCAAGCACTGTATGGCTGCTTTCCTCAAAGTCTCCAGTTAGAACCACATCACCTGTAATACTAGAGAGCTCTCAGAAGGACATGTTCCTCTCCATTCTTGCATAGAAGAGTGAAGGCAGATCCTTTGGGTTCCAGTACAACTCTCTAGTTTTTATCATTAATGCTCTTATTATCAGACACATACACAGATAAATCTGGGCTTTAGAATATGCTAGGATCTCTGCAAAAAATCCCTAGCCTTATGTCTGAAGCACCCCAACGGGGAAGAAATAATGTATGTACATTGAATGAAGGTATAAGTGACTCTGAGGCCTTTCATTCCCCCTCAGTGTCAAAAAGAATACAAAGGTCACTAGGTCTTGACTGGAATAAGCTACTTCTATGGAAAACAGAAGCATTGCTATCACGCACTATTGCTGTGCATGAGGTAAGTGTTATGAGTGTTTCATCTTTCAGAAATTCAATCTCTTGAATTAGTTAAAACCGTTGCTAGGTTGGACCAAAGATTTATAGATTTGTCTTTTCTTAGCTGTGCCAAGGAGATACATGAAACACTTGTATCAGTGAGATACAAAGCACAGGTCATGTAGAGCACTACTCCCATATGAAGCTTTTGAAAATTCCCCAATTATTCATGTCATCTATCTCTTTAAAATATTGTTGATTGCCTTGTATATATATTTTGTTTTTATTTATCTGTGTATGTGTCAAAATCCTTTCAATAGAATATAAACTCCTTGGAGACAAGGACTATTGTTTTTGTCTTTTTTTTATCACTAGCACTCAGCACAGTGTTTGGCATACAGTAGGCACTTAATAAATGTTTGCTGAATTAGGTAAAATAAGATTCATTGGAAATACTACTATTCCAAACCCCTAACATATCTCTGAAGATGCAAAAAGTGATCTAAATATCATTAAGCAAACTCGACTTGGATTATAAGTGAATAGGCTACAGAGACATTGGAGCATTTCACTTTTTTAAGAAAAGCTCCACTTAACTCTTTCCCTCCTACCTGTCAAGGTCACTGTAATTCCTGCTGAAAGCTGAGATCGTAAGTCAGGAGATAAGCATCGTTATAGACATAGAGTTTGTGATCAAGGGGGTGGTAGTTGACACTCTGTATTTTCTCTAGCATTTTATCCATGATGATGCTCATTCTGCCCTCTCTCCCAGTGTTAGTGTCATAGTAGTAAAAAATCTCTTCCTTTCTGGTGTTCATAGGTCGAATGGCATACAGAACCCCACATACGATGAAAGCGTTGGTGACAGATGGCTTATACTGCATGGTTTGCCAAGTGTTTAGCACCTCAAGTGAAGTGTCATTGATTTTGCTAATCACAATGTTACCAGTACTGGCTTCAGTTGAATAGATAACCCATAGTCCAGTTTCATCCACAGCAAAGTCCATATCTTGCCAATTGACACCAGCATAGGAAAAGCGGTTGTTATAGACGGCATTGGGAAGATTCTTTCTCAAAGTAACAGTGTTGGTGTTTAAGTCGAGCTTGGCAATGTCGCGTGTAGAATAATAGTTGAAGTACATGAAGTTGTTGTAAATGACCATACCACTGCCGTCTCCATATTGGATTCGAAACTCTCGGGCATATTTGTAGAGCTGCAAGTCATCCATAGTGTCGTAAAGTCGATAATATTCTAGGTACCTATCACCTGTGCTCAAGGGGGCCACCCAGTAGAGTGTTTTTGTTGGTTCCATTGGAGTGTAATCTCTTCCCCAGGCTCCATACTTATAGGCAGCCCCTCTCCAATTAAGCTGAACAATGAAAGGTTTGCTGATGTTCGCCACACCACCGTGACCACAACTTCCTATATCCAATGGGAAAAGAAGATGAATATTTTTAGAACAAAATAATCAGAAGTTCCAGATGTTATAACATTCAAACAACCAAAAGAAGTCATGAACGATCTCCTGTAGAAGTTTAATGATAATAGTCCGGACTCTAGAGGAGTGACAAAAACCTCAGTTCTATTTCAGTTTCTGAGGCTGACTTGCTACAACCCTCAAGCAAATTGCTTAATCTTCTTATGAGCTTGTCTTCCACTATGTTAAAAAGAGAGGTAGGGACTAAACCTATAATTTATTGGAATAGGAAACTCTTTCTACCAAATGCAGGCCAGCACCTTCTCTGTAACAAATAATCTTAGAGCACTGAGAAAGTAAATGACCTGCCCAAGGTCATACAACCAATATGTATCAGAACTAGGACTTGAACCCAGATCTTCCCAGCTTTGTTTATCCGTTATGCTGAGCTGCCTCTGCATCTTTATGAATGTGAAGATCCTCCAGCTTGGCTACCCAATGTTCTTCATTTCTTTAGAAAATATTTTACAACCTTTCTTCTGAGTTTTTGTGTTTGTTTGTTTATTTATTTGCAAATATAGGAACTAAGGTAGGAAAACATGCTGACATGATATGATCTAAAGTCAAGAAAAACCCAGCTCTGGCATTTAGTAGTTCTGTGATTGTGGTCAAGTCATTTAAAGTAAAGGAAGAAGAGGGCAACAAAGATTTGTTCCATGTGCCAGGCACTACGCTAAGCACTTTCCAGATATTTTCTCATTTGATTCTCACAACAACCCTAAGGGGTAGGTGCTATTATTATCCCTATTCTATCATTAAGGAAACTGAGGTAAACAGTGGTTAAATAATTTGCCCAGGGTCACACCTCTAAGTAGTGTCTGAGGCTGGATTTGAACTCATGTTTCCCTGACTCTGGGCTCAGCATTCTACTTACTGCTTCATCTCAATGTAACTACTCAGTCTCAGTTTCCTATCTGTAAAAGGGGAATAATGTTCACACTATGAGTTGTGAGTAAAGTGCTTTGGAAACCCAAAAGCCCTATGTGAATGTGACCCATCCCCAGTGGAAAATTAGGCAGTGAAAGTTTTTTTCCCCAGTACCTTCCAAATTCCCATCCTGTTCCAAATAAGCTGCCAACCAATCCTTAAAAAGATGTTAGCTGATGACAATCTAAGAGTCCTCTCCTTTTAGGGAGTATTTGCCTCCTAATGAGGGATCTTAAAAACTGATTAAAATTAACCTCTAATTCTGGATTTTCTGGTACCCTTAAACAGGCAACGGGAAAGAGAGATAATTACAAGAGCTAACATTTATATATAAAATCTGCAAAACATGATATCTACATTATGTCATATTTGAGGTCCCCAATAGCCCTGTGAAGTAGGCAGTGTAGTTATTATTGGTCCCATTTTACAGATGAAAAAAGTGAGGCTTCTTAGAACAGAAACATGAAAGTGATATGACTGACACATAACAAGTAAATGTCAGGGGCAGGATTTGAACTCAAGTCCAGCACCTTAGCTACTATGACACACTTTCTCTCATATTTGATGGGGGAACCTGAACAGCATCCTTCAAAAATCTCCACTGACTTAACAACTGACCATATATATTTTGGATGGCCATCCGAGAACCATCCTGCTCTTTTTGGATATAGTAAAAACATACTGGAGCTTTCCCATTCTGACCCTAACACAATGTATACATTACAGAAGACCCCAGAATCAATGATCTAGCCAATCCTTGGGAAAACACCCTATCTGTAACGTGGATAAATGATTCAGGATAGGCATCTGGCCCTCCTCATTGTTCTCATTCTGTAATGACTGCCAATCCAAATAGTTCATGAGCTATAAAGAGAACAGAATTCTGCCAGTATTTTTGCAATAACAATCCAAGTAGTTTACTACCCAGTTTCTGAAAACTATTTCAGACTTTCTCTCAGAAAGAAAGAAAGGGGTAAAAAATACCTAGCAAGGCGGCTTATCGCATAACATAGCAAATCCAATTTCTAAAACATTTGAGGTCATTCGCCCTCTCTCTCTCTCTCTCCAAGCTGCTCAGAGCAAAGCAGGCGGGGGATGGAAGGGAGAAGAGCCAGAGTTACTCGTTGTACATTGGCTTAAGTGCACAGGGGAGATCAGTGAAGCTTACCAAGCCCATAAGGAGAGTGGGAGCCAAGAGCAGAGATCCAATGACTTGCCTAAGATTAGTATTGTATGGGGGTGGGGGGGGAATCCCAGCTTTTGTCTCTGAATTTCTGCCACTGACTGCAACAGAGGACAGTCCCACATTCTTGGTTTTTCAAGGACTGCTCAAAGGTGAAACTATTACAAGAAATCTTTCCTTTATTTTTCAAATGTGGCTGCATTTTTGTTCCAGAATTAAGTACGTGTCCCTTAAATGTTCCCATAAATCAGCAACTGGGTGAGAAAACCTACCAACCATTACAGCAGGTAGAGAAATGAAACCACTCTGTACCCAACCTCAAATAATTTTGCATATCATTAAGCTGAACAGAGTCATGGGTTTATTTTAATAATGCATGTCCCGTTTCATAAATAAAAAAGTGTGCTCAGCCAAGAGACTGCTTTCCACCAAAGAAATAATAAATAAAATTATAAATTATTATTTCTTCCCCTAAAAGTGATCTCTCAGATGAATGCTTGTTTGCTTTTGTTTATGAAACAATGCATGAATTATTAAAATAAAGTTAGCAGTGTGTTCAGTTTAATGATAACAGAAACTGTGTTGAGGTTCCATGTGCTATAAACTGGGTTTCCTGTTTCAAATCTCTTCCAGGGCATTTATTTATTAAATTACACTATACTGAGTAGTAGTAAGCAAGGGTTACTTTTTATCTCTGTCTGATAAATAGAATTCACAGTTATTTACTCCCCACCCAACTTTCCTGATGGAACCTTGGGAAGGAAATATCCCAAACAAGTAGTGCCGTGTCCTTTTATGAAAAGTATGATAAGGCATTCCTTATTCAGGCATTACCATGAAGCTATAGGTTTTAGATAACTCAGCCATCACGTGCCCAAATTCTAAATTGTGGCAGGGTTAATGTGTATTTTGCTGGAAAACCAACAAATGGTTTTGGAATGACTTGTCATTCTGAAATGAAGACATTTCACAAGCAAGTCTCATACATGCATTGTGCACATACATGTGACATTCATTCACTTATTCAGGAAGTACTTATTAAGTAGCTACTATGTGTCAACTACGATGCTAGGCACTGGGGAGGGGGCAAAAACAAAAATAAGAGACCCCTGAAGGAGCCTACGTTCTATATGGGGTGGGGAGAGGACAACATCTAAGTTTCCATGTGAACGTAATACAAATAAGCATAATACAAATTTAGGTTTCCAGAAACATAAATGCAAAATATATACCAAGTACATACAAAGTAATGTCAAGGAGAGAGGGCACCAGCAATTGCGGCAACTCAGTTTTATAGTTAAAACACTCCTATGAGATGGGCAGGGTAGGAGCTATTACCTCCATGTGATTTATGAAGAAATTAAAATTAACATAAGTAAGTCACTTCCCCAAGGTTACACAGTCACAGAGGCAAGACTAATGCCATCTGGTCCAATGGCTTTTCCACCACACTATGCTATTTCTCAACTGCTCTGGTTTTATTGTCTCGCCCTTTAACCTACTGAGCCCTCTATTCCTTTCTTTCATCCCTCCTTCAGTGGCAAGCAACATGAAGAAGAAGGGATCTTTGTGCCCTTGGTTATAACCATAGTACAACGAGGAAGAGCAGTAGTAGCTGCCCCACTGGGAACCCAACTGGCCAGTTTCAGTTGGGTAACACAACTACCTCCTTCCTTCCTTCCTTCCTTCCTTCCTTCCTTCATTCATTCATTCATTCAATCATTCATTCCTCACTTCTCTCCCTTCCTCCTCTCCCTCCTTCCTCTCCCTCTGTCCACACAGGGAATCATACCCTTACCTAAGGGTGCTCTGCCCAAAGGAATATAAATTTTGTTCTCTAAAACCTCACAAGATATGTTGGACTTTAAGACTAGATTTCTTTCTTAAGGACGGTGCCTTAAACCCAAATCACTCTGGCTTTCATTGATTGGCCAACAATAGGTCCTAGCTCAAGCCTCATTTGGTCATTGTTTGGGCCCTGATGGCTCAAAGTGAGTATAAATAGCAATTGTTTCTGTTTTGGCCTGAAACCCTCCCAGATCGATTTTTTTTGATTAGGTAAAAGTGGCCGTTCTGTGCCTCATTTCTTACCTAACCTGAATCACCAAATAGGCATGGCCTCAGTCAAACTGAGACCTGGAAAGATCTTAGCTTAAAAAGGCCAAGGTCTCCCACTACATCCAGGGCCAACTCCAGTCATCCTGATCTATGTCTTGCCACCGGACCCAGATGGCTCCATAGGAGAGAGTGAGGCTGGTGACTTTTCATAGCACTCCACTATTTAAATCCAATTAACTTGCCAGCCATGGCATTACCTTCCTGATGTTGTGGTCCAGTTTGACAACAATGGACAAACAACAACAACAATAACCATAGTCTATGGCGAACAATAAATAAATGGTCCCACACTTCAGAAAGAGCAATGGTGATTCACAGGAAGGAAGGCCATGCCATACTGTCCGTGACTCCTGGCCGCCTCACAGAAATAACAGGAAACATCAGCCAGTGAGGTACACCTCTGCTCTCCTTACTCAGCCTTATTTTCACTTCCATCTTCACCCTCTACTCAGGCCTGAAGAAGCACGTCTTACCTCATTGCTCTCGATATTCTCACATGCCTCTGTCAAACTCCTTCTTTAATTCCAAAGTCTTAAAGACACCATTCCTCCTTCCTTCTTATCTCTCATTCCAACTTCTTTGACTTCTTCCATTTTACCTTGCCTGCTCAAAAAGCATTCCATTCCTCCTTCACCTACTATCTAAGATCTGACAAGGGAAAATGACCAGTTTTGCATTGCTCCAATCCAGCAACAGGTTTGGCAACAACAGCAAGAA